GTAAAATAGTGATTAAATCGCCTTTAATGCCTCTATTTGTTGTAGCTGAACATATTTCGAGGTTTAAAAAGAAACGCAGACGGAGAAACAGAACGAGAATTGGTGGATGACTTCAGACCAATACAAGGACTGAACAACAGAGCAGTTAAAACTAACCATGAGAGGGGAAGACCAAACGAAACTTCTAATAACACCATTTCAAATTATCCCTGTCTTTTACTTATCTTTTTATACTCTCTCTTTTATTCTTGGGGTTTGATCCTATGAGGACCAGGGCGATATTTGTAGGGGTGGGGGGCAGAAATGTACCATCAACTGACGTAGTCTGAAACTTGCTGATATTTTATTTCATTGATTGTTATTTTGATAGATGTCTGTGAGCGTGATGTTAGAAAACACAACTTAGCTTTCAGAAAGAAACAGTTACAAACACATTTTACTACTTTTTCTTTTTTAAAAGATGGTGCTTGGAATTTAAAATGTTTTTCCAATTGTTATTTTAAGGCAGACTACTTTTTTGAGCCTCTGTGAGCCACTGTGAACTTGTAAAAATCGAAATGGTCTAGTTTTTCTAACCTATGCTATCCGACATCTATCATCAGAAAGAGTCAGCAAGTTTCGGACTTCACGTTCGAATAAGTATTTCTGTTTAAAATGTAAAATTGAAGAAGGGGTAGCCGGGGTAAAATATGATGACGTAGCTGTCAAATTGTCAAGTTGTTTAAAAAGTGACATGACACAGCAGTCGGGTAGTGATAACCTCGACATATTTATATAGATAATCAAACAGACGGCGTTCCAACCCTAAATGTCACAAAAATATTTAAATCAAAATTTTTAAACATATTTTAATACATCTGGCACCCTTTTCTAAAAGAAAACCTATCTACAAAAGGTATATGTTAAACTTTATAATAAGCAATACCAGACAATAAAAGATGTGAGATTTTTTTTAGAAATGGGAGCCAGGATATACCAGAATTTATTTTGTGGTTTTTTTTTTTTTAGCATAATATCAAACCCTTTTATGGGTATAACCCAACCCGTACCCTAAACTTATTTATGGGATATCGGGGTAGATTGTAAATATGTATATACTTTGTGTCTTGTATAATGTTTTTTTTTTAAATTGCTAATTTGTGTATTCCTCCTCCTTGGTATATACGACTATTTTTTTTTACGTTCTTATGCATGTTGTTTTGTCTCCTTAAAGAGGTTTTTTGAAAGATTTATGTGTATCGAGGACACTGCACTGAAAGCATAGATATCCATCAGACGTCTATGGTTCTTGCAATTCCACTAAAACTAAGCGTTTTATGACGTAGCTATCGCAATGGTGAGCATAGATAATAGCATTTTTTGCGTCGTATATGTCGTCATATAAGGTGAATCATTTCTATAATTAAAGGAATGAAAATGAAAATGATTAAAATGATTAAAAAGCCTCTTTACAAGACCTTCAACCTTTACCTCGTTTTAATCTAGTATTTGTTTCTTCTTTTCTTTTTGCTGGTGGGAGGATATTGCAGATCTACATTACATGTTTTTACTGTAGGTCACTACTCTTCACATCCATGATCTGCAGAAATTCTTCTATATATTATGTTCAGTTAAGTATTGAACAGATAACTTATCAAAATCTAGATGACAGTGCAAAACATAATTAACAACCGTAAAAACACCACAATAACTATCTAGATCTTCATTAATTGGATTGGCTTCAATAGTTTGGCTGCAATAAAGCGGAATTTATCCATTGACAGCTGTGTCTAGTTTGTAAAACTATCCTTCCTTTATTTTCTCTTTCATCAATGTATTTTCATTTTGTGGTTTTCGTTTTATGATATATAACAAACTAACAAAAAATATACCGGGTAGCTGACAATTTTAACAGAATTCAAAACTAATTTGGGGTTTATTTTAATAGTTATGAAGATATATCACTTAATAAATCAAGGATTTGGGTTGTCATCACCATTAATTATTATTTTGGTGTAAGTTAGCTATGACATGTTGCACATTCTCTAACATATTTCGTGCATATTTTATTTACTATTGCTCTTTTGGATTATTTGGTTCTTGTTTATGTTATTGAATAAATGATTTGAATTTGTTTTTATGGTGTTGGATCTGAATTATATCATATTATGTATGTATTGATCACCCTTGGTTGTGGACCCTCTCCACGCATTCCTTAGTCCTGTTTCACAACTAAATTCAAAATCACTTTAAGTGAATGACCAATCAGGGGCCTTATCCTTGAAAACTTAATTAAGGTAAAATCCAGATTTTTTGTCACAGTAATCTAATTGGATAATGAAACTTAACTTAAAATCTATTTTAGTGATTGACCAATCAGATGAATGGAACGCTAAAATTAACATAAATTAAGTTTTTGAGATTATGGCCCAGCTGTTGATATATTTTTTTGCCGATTGGATATTTTGTAACATGAGTATCCTGCTTAGAAGATTGGAACAGAATTAAGGTTCTGGAAGACTATATGCCTCATGGAGATAACTTTACCAATATATTGCAGCATTGATTCAACTTCCTATATAAAGCTTTAGAGCAACAATCATATTTCAGAATTACACAATACATCTTGGGCTAAAGACGATTCTCATTATGAGAATATTTCAGCAGATAAATTAACTATGTGAAGTTACTCAATCTTCCAGAATCAAATTTAAGACAGTTCTCATCAGAGGCTATCAATTTGGCAAACAATAATTATTAATATAAAAACCATTGTGCAGTACATTAAAACAGCAAAGATAGTAAACAAACACAAGGCATATACATGTATTAAGGTATTACACACTTCTTTCATAAAACACAATCTTTTTCACAAAAATCACATGCGTCATCATCTGCTGAAATGTGTAACTTGTGTTAAAATATTCAAGGGATAGTAAACAGTAGACAGTAAACATTTTATGTGTATCTGGGCTATTTATGGCATCTTTTTTCATTAGTCCAATTTAAATAGCCCTGATGAACATAACAGAGCAAGGAACCTGTGTGTGAAGCAGACCATGCTTACTCTTTTAGAAACACCTGATGGTACTTCTCACTACTGTATAACTTTAACTCTCGATTTTGCCATGATTTAGACAAGATTTTTGATTAACAGAATAGTCTTGCTTGTACAGATTTTTATTACAAACCCTTGAAAGAAGTAAGTAATACAATAACACATGCCTAGTATTGTGTATATGAGTACCACTTGCTCCAAATTTTCTTTAAATCTTTCAACAAGTAGAGTTTCAATATCTTTATGTATACAAATCAAAATCAATTCTTTTTGAACTATAAAATTCTCCCCCACTTTTCACTTTCCGTACAAAAACACCGTTGGGAAAATAATCCTCCTCAGTCCATTGTAGCATTTGAGCACTAGTAAATGGTCCATGTATAGATTCTGAGTCTTTATTCTCCCATTTATATTCCCATTTGACTATATTATCATCTTCCTCTTCTTCTTCCTTCTTCTCTTCTTTTTCTTTGTTTTTATTTTCTTCTTCTTTTTTGGTTTCTTTAAAGATAATCAAAATATTTATGAGAATACTTCAAAAATATACTCACCTATAACAAAGCTTGCTATGCAGATATTTACATTGGGAGTTATATGTTATGGAAAATTAGACTTATGTAGTGGCACCACTACTGACATATTTTAACAAAATCAAGTGCAATAACTTATATAAGTGAAAAAACTGATAAACAGTTAATAATAACCGTCTGCTCTGAAGAAAAAGATACCTGCACATAAATGCAGTCATTGCTTTGATAGACAAACTGAATTATCCTCTGAATGCTTTCTGTCAATACTAACATGGTTATTAGCGTCAAGGGCAATAACTCTGTAAGTTAAGGTGAGAAAGATGCACACAATACCTGCATTGGTTTATTTTGAGTAAAATTGTATGTTGTGATATATTGGTACTGGAAAGAAGCTGAAGGGAAATAACTAATGAAAATTATAAAAAACTTAAACAGTAATAGTTACCTTTTGAAAAACTGACATTCTTTTTACTTTCACTTTCTTTATCTTGTTCATCAAAATTATCAGCAAACATGTCCAAGGCATCATCAGCATCTGCATCTTGAGGAATATCAAATTTTTCTTTCCCAACTTTAGGTTTAATCAGATAATTTATTTTTTCAAAAGTTAATTCATAAGTTTCCATATCACCTTCAGAAATTAAACTATTAGCTAAACTTGTTAATGAGAGTAATTTTTCCTTATTAGCTGTCTCTTCCGCGCTTGGTTTATCACTGCCTTTCTGTTTTTTGGCCTTCCATCTTTGACTGGCTAACTGAATTTTACCCTTGTTTCCTCCCAGACGCCTTAGAGACTTTGTGACTGACTCTCCTGGTTCCATCAATGACAACATTTCTTTATATATTTTAATTTTATCTATTGGTTCATCTTCATCATCGCTGTCTTCCTCCATCTTTCTTTTATCTCCTTTTTCTCTTTCTTTAACCCTGACCCAATCTATATTATCCATCCAATTATCTTGTATCTGGTCCTGAAAAATACAGTAATATACAATTAAAACAGAAAAGAAAAGCAGGACCGTTAATATGGCATTCTAGCCTAAAATGGCTATAAATGTTTAGCCCACTATGTTTACATATTATTGTGAAGTAAACATGTGGAAAAGGCCATTTATAAATCTCTAAGGTAAGAAATTGGCCTACTTTTATAAAATATCATAACAAAACCAAAAGCATGATGTCATCATGAATTCTTACAACAACTCTTCTCAAAAACCATGAATATCACTCTTAGCTTGTGAGATAAGCACAGACTGTAACATTGTTTTCATTAATTGCATTATCTGCTGGGTTGAGGTTTTAGAAAGTGAAGATTTTCTACCTTTTTATCAAAAATATACATTCCATTTTTATCAAAGTGGCCCTCCTCCATTTCTTCTCTCATGTTAAAAGGTGTAATTTGTACTCCTTCTTCATAATCTATGGTAGCTTCCTCTTGACCTGAAAATATACAAATTATTAAAGCTGCCATGTACAAAAAGAGATTATTGAAAAAAATGTTGCTTTAATATTTTAAATATTTACTAAATTAACAATTGGTATAAGGCATACACTGAACTGGGCAATATATTGGTATCACAATAAGTAGGGTCTATTCATCAAAATAATGGTATGATACCTATTTCACCCAAGAATACCAGTACACGTCTAGATTGTCTACTAAAATTTGTTGGTGAACTTGCCTACACTATTTATCTGGAGAAAATGGTTGGATATCAAACATATGAAATGTGTACAGAAGAATTGATTTAGAAGTTGAGTATAGGTCTACTGAGATAAGATCTCTTTAAATCACATATCTACATTTTGAATACAAGTGTGTTCTTTCTATTGCCAATGTGGTCATGGTAGCTTTAATGTATTATTTACCCTCGATGTCGTCTTCTTGTAAAACATCGTATTTATCACCATCGTCTTCTTCATCACTATCTAGAGAATGTTTCTCCTTGAACCTTTTCGTCTGCTCTTCGTCTTTGGCAACCTCACTGTCCATATTTCTCGAAATTACTGCAGTTATTCAAATTTTAACACAAAAATAAAATTCATAAACAAAACCTAGCATGGCGGACGCTACATATAAAATTGTGATTAGGAAATACAAATATTCAGTAATTATTTTTGAAGCTAATCAGCAATAAAATGCTTAATGAAAAAAGAACAACACTAAAATATAGTCTAATATTGCTTGAACTGAAACCAATAATCTTAATTTTTAATTCAAAAGGCTTCAGTCATTGATTTTTGAGAAAGAGAATCCATGTCCTGAAATTAGACGAATCAATGAGAGTTACTTCCCATTTACTTTATAGAGGGCACCTCGATTTGTTTATCATAGAAATATTAAAAATGTAAAAGTTTTCGTTGAATCTTACTAACGATAACTATTTGTGTAAGTTTCCTATTCTCCAGAATGCTCCAACCATTAGTTGCATCAGTCTAAGCTATTACAGCCTTCACCCTTGAAACGATCACCTGACTGATCTTTGAGTAGCCATGCCTATGAATTTTGAGAAGTAATGGAAAACAAGAGGGGGGGTATCAAATCTTTAGAGATCGGTACAAACTAAACTGATTCTCAGATTTATCCCTTGCTAATCTATCCATGTTTTGAAACAACATCACTGCATTGTTCAAGTTTTCATGGAATGAGATAACTTTAATCACCTTTTTAAAGAATAATATCGTTGAGGAGAAGCAAAGCCCCTCTTCTGTTGTGTTCGGATGAGGTTGAAACTTAAATAGATAGACCTATGCCTATAGTGTCTTAAATAACACTTTTCTGAATGAAAATTTAACGTTGCTCTTAACTTTAAAGCAAATATTTAGACAACATTCTTCATGACTCAAGTGTATTAAGAATTCTATTTTAAAATCACCTAATAACTTGTGGTATTTTTTTACCTCTAGGTAAAAAATCATCATGATGCAGGGTTATTCTGCCCTAGATTTAATATTAAAGAATTTGATTATATCTGATTTTAATCAGCTAGAAGTAAAGAACTGGGATGCTGTGTCTAAATTAGTTCCTGGTACTACACCACAACAGGTCAGACATTTTATACAAAGAAATTGTGATGAAGATTGACACTAAGTTTAAGTTACTTGCTGTGGAAATTGGAATCAACTTCAGTGACAATAGTAATTTTAGTGACAATTAACTTGCTATGAGTTGGGTTTTCATGTCTTCTGTAAGGCAATTTTGAATCTCCTCTAATATAAGTAATTAAGTTATATTTGATGCACTAGCAAGTGTTTCAAGGGTCAGCTTTCAATATGGACTATTTTACCTCTCAATGTTATAAAAAAATGATGTAGGCCTAACTCTGGTAAACAGGAATGTTTGCTGCCAAAAATTTTAAGTTGAAATGCTCTTTGAATAAGACTGATTCTCTTATTTGAATCCCGTACTGTCTTTAACTCATTAATGTTTTTTTTTATTTTCCTTTTTCAGTGTTCTAAGCGGTATGAGGAATTATTGTCCTGTGGTACAGCTTTAAAACTGAATAAATTAAATAAGATTAACTCTGGATTAGGATTATCAGGAACTACAAATGATACTGATAGTAATAGTAGATCTAGTAGACCAACTTCAGCTTCCAGGAATAAATGTAAGAATAAATTGACAAAATGTACTGCTTCTAATAATGAATGGCGCTCAAGTGGGGGTGACTCCAGAAAAATTATTTGCACCTCAATTCATTTCTAAGAACTTTTAAATATGAATTTTATATTTTTTTTGATCCAAACATTTCTGTTTTTTTCAACATTTGTTTTGAAGAAAACCCTCTCAGACATTCTATAGGTTTTGATTTCAAACTTGACAGTTGTCCCCCCATTATGTCAGTCTGCCCCTTGTTTGTACCCTCAGTCTTGCACAGGTGGTACCACCACTACTAATTATTCTGCAGGCAGACAGTGACAGTAGCCTTCATTTCTATTCTTACCTATGACAATTTATATCCCTAACAACATACTGCATACAAATAAAACTTGGCTATTTCAATTGCCTATAATTTTTTTTTTTTTGCCTTCAGACAGTAAAGAAGAATCTAAGAAAAAAGATCAAGATGAAGAAAAGACTAGAGATGAACATGGGTAGGTTGTCATAATATCTTCACTTTACAGAACAATTTAAATTACATGTTATCTTGACATTATTTTAATAGTATTAAAGTAATGTTTCAATGTAAATACTCCAATAAATGGTACACTGCAATGAGTAACTACATTAGCCAATCTTCAATGGAAACTGGTGAATACTTGATTGAGATATGAATGCGAAATAAATTAACAGAACCACTGCCGTGTGGGAAAATTGTCAAAAGAGAAAAGGCTTAGTCTGCAGTCTTCATTACATCAATTCAATGAAGATGTAGTCATTTGACATAAGCTATGCAGTTAAAGTATTGGGAATAAAAATGAATAATCTTATTTGTTTTAAGTGTTAAAAAACGAGTTCATCATTCTAAAAAGTGAGTTGCAAGAGTTAGTTATGGCTGTCTGTTCCCCAGTTGAGTTTTTGCTATGCATGAACTTTTTCTTTTTGGTTGCTATAATTGTTGGCTATATGTTTCTCCTAGTGGATTCTGAGCTATCTGTAAAAAATGCTGTTTCTGTGTTTGTTTCAGTAAATACATTTCAAAGTCTTTCCCAAATTCTCTTCCAAGCCTACCCAGCTTTGCATGTTAATCGATCTAAGTTTTATTGTTTTGATCCTAGTTATTCACATTAAATTTTTCATTCTATGAAAGTATCTTCTAGATTTCACTTCCTTAGAGGGGTCTAGTCATCAAAATATTGAAAAAAAAACCTTAATTTCAGCTCTCTGTATAAGTGATGTAGTGCAAATGAATTTAATTTGTTCTCTTTCCTTTTTTTCATTCTAAACTTCCTTCAGTAGTGTGTTGGCAATGCAATATTCTAGATATACTTTTTACAAGTAAAAGTACCTGAAACCCAAAATGAAAATGTTACCCTATTTCTAAAGATATTATTTGGTCTTGTCACAGAAAAGTGATTAGAATATTATGTTATTTGATAGGCTGTTTATCATCTATTTTTAGACCTGTTATGGTGATACATGTCTGTGATGAAGCCAAGGACTGTAAGTATTATTTATTGTTTATAATTTAATTTATCATTGATTGCATGGCAAATATATACCAAATTCTACAATGATCAACCTTTCTCTGTTTTATGTATGCAGTATGAAAAGTTTGTATTTTGTACTATCAATACAATAGCTGTAGTAAACTTCAGTGTGTAATTACAGTCATTTTAAGCATTAAAGCATAAAGAAACAAAATTTTGAACACATCATTTGTTTTTCATGATAATGTTTGTATTTACTGTAAAATTGACAAAATTGTAATGTAATATTTTGATATTTTAATGAATATTTCAGTGAAGAAAGATTTTTTCTGTCCGCGTGATTTATTGGTGAAGGAAATGAAATATTTCGCTGAGTATTTGTCTTCTGATGCCCAACGTTGGGAGGAAGTTGATATCTCAGTCCATTGTGATGTCCAGATCTTTGATTGGTTGATGAAATATGCCAAAAGACATTTAAGCCAATCAGACATTGAGAGACCAAAACTGGGTAAGAATGGTTTGATATTTAATATCCAAATGATTTCTATAAGTAACTCCTTATATAACTAGCTCTATTCATTAATGCCGTAATTCCTAAATTAGATTGTGTGATTGGAATAACATTTGACATTTTGTTAATTTTCAGAACCTGGAAATGTTGTATCCATTTTGATTTCCTCTGATTTCTTAAAGATGGATTCCTTGGTAAGTATGTTAACAAATTAAGGGGTAGTTAATTCCTATTGTTAATTACATATACTATTCAGTAAAATCAAGTGGAACATGATTTGTAGATCTATAGGTATTTAAGACAGAGCCACTGTATTCTAATCATATTAATATATTTAAACCTGCTATTATTCTTAGTATTTGTAAAATTTGTACATTAATTCCATCCAGTAATAGATTGGTGTAATGTTTTTTTAATTGTGAAATAATCATTGATCTCAATAATAATAATATCAACAAAGGAATAATGGCACATTTCTGTGGTCAAAATGATATTCTACATATGATTTAACTATCATGTAAATTACAAGACTACAAGAGTTTAGTATTATGGATGCATCTATTTTAAATCAGGTACAAGAATGTATAGAGTTTTGTTATAAGAATATATCAGCTATAGTGAGCACCAACTGTAATATGAACTGTATTAATGATACATTGTTATCAAGGTATGTAACTCTTGCTCACTTTATCCAGATATCCTTAAGGTTCACATTATTTTTTTTAAAATGAAACATGGTAGAAATATTTTAAGTGTAGATTTAGTGAAGTATAAGTATATTGCTATTTTGTTGTATGTCTAGTTGTATATAATATATTAGATATTTGTGTATTTTAGAATTGCTGACCTGTTTTCACATACAGAAGGTGATGAAATACTGGATAGAAAAGATAAATTTAAAAGTAAATTATTTAGTAAAAAACTAGAGAAATTGTTTGATAGGAATTATAACAGTCCTGATTCACTGGGCTCGGCATCTAGTCTACACAGGTAAGCTGCTTACATTGATATCTTCTGGTACTCAAATTCCTCAAATTGGTATATTTGTATATTTATTGGTATTATTTATTGCACATTTTCTTCACTTTAGACAACTTTAATTTTAAAACAATCCCTTCCAAAATGAGAATTCATTTGGTGATTTAGGTAAGAAAATTATGCATGCTAAGCTCTTATCTTAAAATGTATCTTATTTTGTGTATAGATGTAGTGTATGTAAGAGACTGTTAACAGATACTATGAAGAAAAGAGTGAAATGTATGCCTAGCAGGTATTGTATTTTATATTGAATATACTGCTGGCTGTTTCCTCACAATATGGTCTATGTGGTGTTGCACTGGAACTTTGAGTGACATTCACCCAGTGTAGACATTTCAAACCATTGTATGTGTATATGACACTTATAGATTTGGACTGACACTTTTTTTACAGTCCAAATTCCTATCTGACATCTTTGATTGCTGTAAATTTAAGAAACTTGACCAGGGGCCTTATTTTCAAAACTTTAATGGAATAAAATCTAAATTTTAAGAAATCATATTGTGTTTGCAATCTGGTCAAAAATTGGCAACCTACATTATTCCTTTTCAATCAATAACTTTCACTTAAAGTTTATGTTTATTTTCAGAATGACAATAGATAAACATGGAAACTTAACATACAGTCATCTTCGCGATACATCATTTGATGTCAACGAATATCTTATAGATTTAAAATCTCAGTTGAAAACATGGAAAGATGTATACTGGAGAGTATGGGGAACTATTAATACTTTACCTTGTAGTAGATGTTCTGAAATCTTTCCTTTAGTCGAGTTTGGACATTGTAAATACCATCCTGAGGCTCCCCGCTACGACAATTCTATACTAGAGGGGGGTTCTTGTATTGGTAATTACCCATGCTGCCATCAAAATACACTGAGATTTGATCCAACACAGCAAAATAAGGTAAGAATGTTTATGGGAAGGGATAAGGGGGTAAGCTTCTATCAAAAATGTTCAATTGATATATTTATAATATACTGTGAGGTTCTATAGCACAGCCTCTTTACATGACACTATTTGCTTGGTTACGTAGAGCAAATGGTGGCTGTGGGTTCCGATATTGATCAGCTTGTGAAAGTCTGATGACCTTGAATAAGTCATCTTCACTCATTATTCCAGTCGACCCAGCTGTATATGGGTACGGATAATCTGGGAAAGATCAATGCCAAGAGGTTTGGCTAAGGACAAGCTGGTAGAAAGGATCCTTAACTCTGAATCTAAGTTGTTATCCTTGTATAATATAGTTGTTTTTTTTACTTTCTCTTCTAACTATTGATATTTGTGTATTGTCAGGGATGTCGTGTAAAAGACCATATAGTATATATCAACGAGAACACTTCATCTTCATCACCTGATGTCACTCTTCAACAACATCAGAAAGTTTACGATGATTTATTAGCTCATAGAGAAATCATCTGTGTCCCTTATCAACGTCCAACAGAGACTAGGTAAGGATTTATTAAAATTATAGTGATGGTTACTTTTTTAGGACTAAAAATAAGATATTGAAGTCTGACTTAGACTAAGTAAGAATATATTAGAATAATAGTGATGGCTGTTGTAAATCATTTAGTCCTAGATTCTTAACTACCTAGAAATGAAAATATATTGAAATTATAGTGATGACTGTTGTAAATTATTTAGGCCCAGAGTACCGTATTAAGTACCTAGAGACTAGGTAATAATATATTAAAATTATAGTGATGACTGTTGTAAATTATTTAGGCCCAGAGTACCGTATTAAGTACCTAGAGACTAGGTAATAATATATTAAAATTATAGTGATGGTTGTCGTAAATTATTTAGGACTAAAAATACACTGACACAGACTAGATAATTTAAATATGTTACTTTTTGAAGTAATAACTCTTTTAAATATTTTCTCTCTCTCTCAGCTAACCAAAGCAGAATTCAGATTTTCTTTTGTTAACTTGTTAACTTTGTAAACTCTATTCTATTTCAAATGAAAAATGTGAGATTTATGTAAATGGCCTATATATTAACTATGATATATTTTCAGTGATCAAGAATTAAATATATTTGATAATGAGAAGTTTGCTGTCCATTCTCACTATCAGGGTGCTACCATTCCGACCTCGATGATGACAGGGGAAGATAACCACAGTAAAACTCATGTAAGTAGACCAGGTTAATCAGCCAGATATTATTTTGCTTGTTGTTTTTAGGGCATTCTCAATCTGTGAATTTAGATAGTTTTTCTCGTACTTTCATTTTATAGATAGATTATCCAGTACTCTTGCATTATAGGTTAATCGTCCAGTACCTAGATTACAAGCTCTAACAGTAGAACAAGATGTATCTATAGATTATGATGACTATGGTGGAATGGGAGAGAGTGAGGATGAGATGGGAGATGAGGAATCAGTTAATAGTTCTAAAGGTGTTGGTACAGGTAAGATTATCAGACAGTTACTTCCCTTAAAGGACTCTCTAATTGAGAAACTTAGTTTAGTATTACAGATATGATACCAATAAATGAGCTCTGAAAACTGAGAAAAAACTCTAGTTAATTTACACAGCAGGCTTAATTTTGAAATTGTGGTTTATGGTCTTGGGGAGCCCTTGTTAGATCCACCTGCACATCATTGTAAAGG